AACCTCTCTCTCAGGCGTGAGGGAATGAAAAGCACCAAAAAAGGCTGAGTGTGGGGGAAGAAATGGAGAAATATGGAAAAGTGAGAGCCATGAGGAGAAATCTAGTGCCATTTTCAAGGCACTGAATAGTTTGGGGGCAGCTTTGGAAGATCATAAGCTGTATGAGGAAAAGGAGGGAATTTGCTTGTGAAATTTGGGAAGTGTCCATCTGAGTAATTCCCAGATGGTGTAAAACCTTTCTCTGCCCCCACTCAGCTGAAAATGATGAAAGCTTCAAGGCCCAGCTGTAAAAGGGTTGGTTTTGTTGGAGATGTGTCAGGAGGCTGTTGGAAGGAAGCTGAAAAAGCTGAAATCGCTTCTGGATCCATCTCCAGCTCCTGGTACTTCTGGAATTGCCAGCAATGGTGGAACAGGGAGGGTTAAGTGCCTTCTATCCTGTAGTCAGAAAATAGGATTTTGTGTGCTTTTTTTCTTCATTTATCGGAAGTTGTGTGGCAAAGTGTGAGGATGGTGGATGAACTCTTAATAAATTCAGTACTTTGTTCCATGTGGAATTCCTGTTCTGATTTTATTAAGCAAAAGGAAAATTTAAGGGAAGTCTCACTTGCAGTCTTGCATCACACCTGGAAAAATGGAGTAATTGGTAGCACAGGCTGAATTTTCACTCCTTACAAACCATCCAGTGCTCCCAAATGCAGCAGAGTCACCACAAAGATGTCACACCAAGGCACAGGGAATGTTGAAAATATCCCATTTATGAAAAAAAAAAAAAAACCAGAATGAGAAGCAACCCACCAGTGGGTCATCATGTTAAACTTCATTACATCAATATTTTCATTCAAGCACAGATTCTTAATGCAGGCTTTGGACAACACAAAAATCACAGACTTCCTTTAGTTCTTGGGGGAAAGTCCCTAAGCATGTAATAAATATAATTTTACTAAATAATAATTTAAATATTAATTCAAACACATTAAAATATTGCTGATCATACTAAATATTAGTAATATTCACAATAGGCATAGCATGATGAGATGATGATGAGGTTTGAGGTTATGAAAGGAACTATGAGGATAGTCTTTTCTTGCATGTTAAGGGAAAAAAAACTGAAAATGCCTCTAGTGTCTTGAATTTGGAAAAGATTAAAAATTTTAAGCTAATAGGTTTGGTAATCTAAAGGCAATTTTATTTGGATGGTGATTCCAGCTGTATTCAATGAATGTAAGCACATTCAGTTAAATAGCTGGTGCTTTATAATCACAGCAGGATAAAATATCAGGCTGTTTTTCTAAACTGAGAGAGCCACATTCCGTGCTGGGAAATATGGTTTGTTTTCTACCAGCCTTCAATTTTTGATACCCATTTTTAGGGATTTTGAATCTGGCTTTCGAAAGTACTTTACATTAACTCTCTACATGTTTGCCTAACTAGCATCTCTGACATCAAGACAAAATGCCATTGGTACTGAAGGGCACTTTCTCCCACTAAAGCTTCTCTTTACAGCAATGGGTTCTACTGACTGTTGCTGAAGCCGAGAGGGGAAATAACTTCTGTAAAAGACATTTATGGGCATTTCTTTTAGCTAGACACGGGCAGAACATCCATTTTACACTAACAGGGGCCATCGCCTCCCTCAGCCCCCCTCAGGCTTCCTCAGGGCGGGAAACGCTCGCACCGCCCCCAGTTCCTCTAACGCGCCTTCCTATTGGCTCCTGCCGGCCCCACCGGCAGAGCCGCGCGCTGTGATTGGTTATTACCAGTGGATGGGTGGAACGAAGCAGGCGGCTCCGCCCCGGCACGGCCGGGCCTGCGGGAGCGGAGCGGCGTGAGGGGTACGGGACATGGGGCACCGGGGCTGGGCAGGGGGATCCAGGGAGTGCGGGACCGCGGTGGGGCAGCGGAGGGCTCGGAGTGTGAGGGGACGCGGAGGGGGCTGGATGAGGAGGGTGAACGCGTCCGAGGTGTAGGGCATATGGTGTTTACTGAGATGCGGGGAGGATATCTGTGAGCTCGGGGGATGTGAGGCTGGGGTAGGGCAGCTACGGGCAGAGGAACTGGGGACTGAGGAGCTGCAGAGACCTGATGGGGAGGATACAGGGAAGGAGATGGGAAAAGAGGACAGATTTGTGGCATGACGGGAGGGATCCAGACAGGCCTCTGGAGCCTTGGGAAGACACTGACTGCAGCAGCATTTATAGGTATGACACGCTTTTTTCCTCTTGGGTTTGCCTAGTCCTGGCTCTCCTGACCTTGGAACGCCAGTTTGTGAGCTGTGTTCCGCAGCTCCTGCTCGGCTGTAGAAGGGATGTCACCTCCGCCCCTGTGCTGCCCTGCTCCACGTGCTTCATCCTCCTAGGGAGGAGGAAACCTCCCAGCCCCTCGCTTGGGAGCAGGCTCCTTACTGAAGGCAAATAGATTTGCCCAGAAGCAATGATGAGCGAAGTATAGTCTGAACTGGTATTGCAGAGACTCCGTGTCTCTGCTCTGACCAGGGCATGATCACCTAATCTTCTCTCTGAGCTACTCTAGGCGAAGCTCGTCTCTAGGGAACAGCTTTGCTGTTCTTGAAACTTGGATGCACCCTAAAAAAGTAAATACTAAGATTTTTTAGCAATTTGTTTTAATGGCAGATAAACAATTATTGATTTGAAAAGTAACCCAAATACTTGTTGCTGCAGCTTTACTGTGAGCTTGCAGTCCTGGGGGATTTGGGTTTTCTCCTGCATGCTCCATGGATCACCAAACTCAAGATACTCTGCCACTGTGTCTCCTGTGTAAGTGCATTGCAGACTCTGAGCTGTCTGTCCTGTAGAAGCTCATTAGCAGTTTATTCAGCTGTATTCTCATTTAGTGATTGCCAGCAGGGAGCCAGGAGTTTTTCTTAAATATTTTTGATGAAGTGCAACCCCTATGGGGTTGAGGGAAGGGCCCAAGAAAAGAGATGGGGCTATTCTCTCATGCAGTTTTTTTGTTCTTTTCCAGGTCCTGATGACATCTTTATATTGATTTCTCTCTTCCTGTGGAGAAGGAAGTATCTACAGGGAATATATACCTAGGAATATGTTAGAGTTGTTTTCCCTTAACAGGAGAAGCCACTTTGTTTCTGTTACGGAAGTTGCAAAACCTCGTTTGCTTCATGCTCTAATTTTTGAAGACTGCCTAGATGAGCTGTGAATGTGCCTTAGGTTCACTAAAGAATTTTTGAAAGACTTTCGAAGTCTTGGCAGCAGGATACCGAACAACTCCAATGCTGCTGTTAATGTTGATGAAATTGTACTGAGCAACACCAAAGCATCCTGAGGGCATGTGATGTACATTATAGAAATCACAAATTAGTATGCAAGTCCAAAGGTTGGTTTAATAAAGTTGGTGCTCCCTGAAAAACTTTTCTTGTCAATCTTTATTCCATTGTGGTTTTAAGAAAATGGTTAAAAAGCAGATAAATGGGAATTTTTCTATAACCCAAATTGGGTTTGTAGTTTGTTTTAGAGCAAGAAACTTGACAAATGAGCATTTATTTGGCTGCTAAGGACAGGAGGTTTCGAAGGAGTCAGATCCAAGTTGGCATCCTGCAGCCATCCCCAGAACACACAAAATGTGCCAGGTAATTGCTGAGCCTGTCACTGTGCTGGGTTTGGTGCTTGTTACTCAGCTAAGCTTTAAAGGGCAGTTTATTGTGTAAAAGTCATTACAGCTGCTCAGAACTGGGAGGCTTTGATGTGGGCGGTTCTCTGCAGGTCTTGGAGCTGGCTAAATCCAAGTTTGGCAGGGACAGGGTGTTGTGCAGGAGTGGAAAGCAGCCAGGGCCTGGCAGGCAGACATCTGGTGGGCATTTTGGGGAGAAAAGAGGGATTAATCCTGGAAGAAGGAGCTGTAGAGGCCCTGGAGCAGCGTGGGATAAGGTAACTTGTGTGTTAGTGAATCCTGCATTGAGGGATGAAACTCCCCAAGAGCACTGCAGTGCTGGGGGTGAGTGTCCCACGCCTGCCCAGCTTCTCCCTGAGCAGCAGAAAAATAGTATAGGAAGGATAACAGGAAAATAAACTTATCCTGAGAAGGAATCATCAGTCAAATGCTTATTTATGAGTTGGTGCACCGGAGTCACCAGGACATTAACAAAAAGTAAAAATTGTTTAGAACCTCAGAAAATCTCGCACTCCAATGTGATCTGTGTGTTCTTACTGGCTCTCTGAAGGAAGAGAAGTATCTTCATGGATCCTATAGCTACTGGAGAAGAGAGAAATGAGACAGTTTCTCTTATTATTCCATAGTGGTAAAGTAGAAGGGTCAGGGATACAGAGATAATAAAGCATCAGGAACAGATCTCATTTATTAGGTGTTTTGGGGAGATTCAAATTACTGCATTTCCCCACATTATTCAATAACCTTGCTCTCTTGCTTACTGGTGAAGGAGGATATTGGAGATTCTTATCTTCTGAAACAGAGCTAAGTGGAGGGAAAATGAGACACCTGGCTCAGTGGATTAAACGTTAGAAGGTGTCTCTTAATCTGGAAAGAGCAGAGTGGGGTCCTGTACTTTGTGCAGCAAACTTTGCTCGTGTTCTCCAAGCACTGTCACCGTGATATCTGGAGCACTGCTGCTCCCTAGAGTCAGAAAAACAACCTTCCATCCTGAAAAATCAGGTGTCAAACAGGAGCCAACCATGTCACACAGGTTTTCTTTCCTCCTGTGTTCAGTGGAAGGATGTTTTGTTCTGATATGAATGTTCTACATGGCTGGGGCTGGAATAATTGCAATGTAATGCTTGGACATTAAAGATCCTCAGCCTACAAAATGCTAATCTTACATCTACTATCATCATGTGGAAAGGTGAAAGCAGCCTTAGTGTTGTCTCTCTTATGTAATTAGAACCCCCAGAGGAGGAAAATGTTTTTCCAATAACCAGAAAAGAATTAAATTAGGTTCTCAATCAGAATTTTGCTTTATAAAAGCAGATAATAATGAATGCAAAGACTTATTTAACAATAAACCACTCTCATCAGCTGGCAGTTTTTTAATCTGTTTTGTCATTTTCTCTCTTGTGCAGAAAATGTCACATTCCTCTTGTCCATGATTGACTTTAAAGAGTCAAAAGTCTTAATTTAGAACCGTTGATGGGAATTAGGAGGGTGATGTTCTCAATTCTGAGGTGAAGAGCCTGAAAATGCAGGAGACTGAAGAGCAGAGGTTTAAGCCCATCTCCACTTTTGACAAAGCCAGAGCTCACCCTGAGCAGCACGAGGACCTGGGAAGATGCCCAGGGAGGAAAAACCTGCCTGGAGAATTTCCCTACCTCTTTAATTTGCTGGCTCATGCCCTCAAGCAGGACCAGTGCTGGTCTTTGATCCTCACATCTGCATTCCTCTTACCCAAATCAATGTTTCCTCCCTTTCAGCTGGTCTTTTAAGGCATTTCTGTATTGGCTGTCAGGCTGGGGCTGTGTGATCCCTCTGCAACTGCCAGGGTGTTTGAACAGCTTATCAACAAAGGGCAGAGCCTTGCCACAATGTGCAAAGGCAGCAAAGCTGATGAACCACCGAGTTCAAAGGCGCTGTGGAGCTCACCGATGAGCACGGCGGTCTGAAGCTTTCCATGGGATGTAGAAAGAAGTGCTGGATGCTCCTGGGAGCCTTTCAGCTCTCAGGGGAGTAGAGTTTGACCAGGTGCTGCAGTTCTGTGGCATAGCCTGTGACCGGGCAGCGCTGGTGAGCCTTCACGTAGCCGTAGGCGCAGCGGTAGCAGAACACGAAGCCGGACGTGGCCAGGGCCGTGGCGTTCACGCGGACCTTGCGGCACAGAGGGCACACGGTCTTCAGGCTGGGCAGGAGAGCTGAGCTGGGCTCGTGCTCCAGGTGCACGGGGGGTGGGGGCGTGGGGAGCGCTGTCAGGGACTTGATGGTCTCCTGGTTTTCCGAGGAGTACCACCAGTCCAGGAACTGGAGGAAGAACACGCTGACGGACAGGCCGGTGGACAGGGAGAAGGCAATGCCACCCAGGGCTCTCCTCAGGGCTGACTGCACTCGTGAGGTAAAGCTGGAGCAGAGAGAAGCAGGGAAAGATGGTTACTACTGCACATTTACCCACCTAGAAACCGTGGGGAAAAGCCCTTGGGGAGTGACTGCTTCACACAGCTCCTACATGCTAAGTTAGTTGGTGAGCATGCCCCATGTTTGCACTTATTAGGATGTTTCAGATTCTTTTTTTATTTTAAGGAAGATCCAAATCCTGCTTTTTTCAGAAGTCTTAATCAGAAGAATTTGGATTAGAGGATCCTGGACCACAGAGTGTTTCACTCCTGGATCACCATTTCACAGGGTATTCAGTGTGACCATGACTAGCTGCTGCTTAGGAAAATCAAATAAATATGTTTCAATTCTTTCAGAAATGTTGCTGCAACTGCTGCCTCTCCTTTGCTGGAAAAGTGCAGGGTAAAGGCTTGATGAACAGGAAAAAGGCTTGCATGCCCAAAAACACCCCCAAACTCTGAAATTTTATTACCACAAAATCATTTCAAGCTAATCCCTGCTACTGGTTTCTTTATTTTCACTCACAATGCACCCTTTTGGAGCACATATTCTCAGAGTGAACTTTCATCTTGAATTTTTGGGGAACAAGGCACTTTTACTTGCAGCATCGCCTCTAAATTTACACACCCACGGAACCCCCTGGAGAGCAACAGCTAAGCCAGGTTCTGCCATACCTGTGTGTTTCACTTGAGGTAGTTTCAGCCCATTTCTTCTCCAGGGCCTGGATATCCTCTGCAGTCAGTCTGACCAGGCGGACACCAGCCAGCTTCAGCATGGGGGAATGATGCTCAGCCTTGCCCAGGATGTAGCCCAGTTGCTGGATAAGAAACCAGCCCTCCCAGGTCATGTTTACGTAGGGGTAGGCAGCTAGAAAGGCTCTGTAGAAGCGCTTCCAGGATGATGAGGGAGGGTGGATGGAGTACTCATCCTCTTCCCTCAGGCTGGACACCAGTTTCTCCAGCTTTCCCTTCAGGTAAGGAACCAGAACCAGCAGGAGCAGAGACTTCCAGTGCTGCCTCTTTGGCAGGCCAAGTGTGGCCAGAGATTGTTGTTTGCCATCTCCCATGGGGATCCTCTTCAAGCTATAGAAGTTCTCAGAGAAGGATGCGCTGCACCTGGCCAGGTAGTGCTGCTGGAGCAGCAGATCCAGAAGGACGTAGATCTCATCAAACCAGTGCCAGACGAAACCATATCGGGCAGGATTAGACTCAGCAAGCACCTGTTGCGAAAGGGACATGAAACGGGAGAAATCAGAGTGGTTTGGGTTGGAAAGAGCATAAAAAATCATCTGGATCCAGCCCCTGCCGTGAGCAGGGACACCTTTTATTATGCCAGGCTGCTCCAAGCCCCATCCAGCCTGGATTTTAACACTCTCAGGGATGGGGCTTCTCCTGGCAACCTGTGCCGGGGCCTCCTCACCCTCACAGAGAAGGACCTGAAAGCCGAACTAAATTATAAATTACAGCAGCTATAAACGACGCCTCTAATCCTCAGCGCAAGCCAGGTGGCTCACAACTGTCTCGCTGCCTGGGAGTACGGCCGGAGTTACAGGCCAGCCGCCTCTCCTCTCCCTTCACCCGCGGCCCGCCTCGCCCTCACCTTGACCAGGTGCTGCAGGGCGGGTTTCACGGCGGCCATCAAGCTGTCCTGGGCCACGGCCTCGAACACGGACGGCCGGTCCCCGCCGGCCGGGGCGGCCGTGAGGTGCGCGCCCACCTCCGCCATGACACCGCCGCTCCGCCCCGCCGCCAGGGGGCGCCTCCTCCCCGTCCCGTCGGGTGCCGCTCCGCTCCGCCCCCCGGAAGCGCGGGCTGCCGGCGCTCCGCCCGCTGCCGCCGCTCTATGGTGGCGGGGCGCGGCCGCTCTGGGCGGGGGAGGGTTCGATCTCGCTGCTCGCGAGTCCGCCCGGCCCCTCCGCTTCCGGTTCCGCCGCCGCCCCCGCAGCGGTGAGTCCGGTCCGTGAGTGGGGCCGGGGCTGAGGGCGCCGGGGGAGGTGGGGGGGGCGCCGGGAGGGGATACGGGGAGGGGGTGAGGGGCACTGGTGGGGTACGGGGAGGGGGGACTGCGATAGGGTGGGTAGGGACACTGGTGGAGAATTGGGAGGGGCTGGGGGGGTGCCTGGAGGGGATATTGGGAGCGGTGAGGGCAGTGGTGGGGGGCTGGCATAGGGTGGGGAGGGGTGCTGGGAGGAGGTGTGAGGTACTGGGGGGGTACTGGGATAGGGCGGGGAGAGATGCTGGTTAGGGAGGGGCTGGAGGGGGATGGGAGGGCCCTGGGAGGGGATGGTGGGGGGATTGGCATAGGGTGGGAAGGGACACCTGGGTTAGGGTGGGAAGGGGCACTGGGGGGTGGGTACTGGGGGGAGGTGGGTGATCCTGGGAGAGGGAATTGGAATGAGGTGGAAGAGTCGCTGGTGAGGCACTGGGAGTGGCTCTGGTGATGTACTGGAAGAGGATGGGGAGCCACTGGGAGGATTGGGCAGGTGGTTGCAGAGAAGCTGGAGGGGCAAGAGTGAGAAGTGGGATCAGTGGGCCCTGGGGTGAGGTGGAGCTGCTGGGGATGGGGCTTGGTGGGATGGGAATGAGCACAGTAAGCTACCGGGATCCTGGTGGGAGCAGGCAGGGATAAGGACTGGGTGCTGGCAGAGGGACTGGTGGGCACTGCTGGGACTGGGAGTGCTGGGGAGGGGAGCTGGGATTTGTGGGGAGTGCTCCTGTGACTGGGGGTACTGGGAGAGATCTGGGGAATGGTGCTGAGGGGGAAGGGCTGGTGGGCAGGGGGCTTGTGGGGAGGTACTGGGATGCCAGTCTGGGATGTGGGTCGGTGCTGGGAGTCCTGCAGGAGATGTGGGATGGGCTGGCAGCAAAGCTGGGATGGGGCTTCCACAGAATGGGGAGGTGATATGGAGGAGCAGGTGGAATGGGGACCACCAAGGGGGTGTTTGGTTTGCCAGCACGAGTTCGGGGCTGGAGGCACAGCTCTCCCTCTGCCATCCACATTCCACTGTTGTGTTTATCTTCCTGGTTCTCCAGTGGCTCTGGGCCACACCTGGGTTGTGCAGCTCCTTGAAAGGCTTTCCAGGAAGAATGGGAGGCACCACTTACACTGGAGTTAAACCAGGGATCACTTGAGAGATTTAGGGATTGATGGTTTCAATGTCCAGGAGCTTAGGTCAATCCCAAAGCCCTTAAACCTGCCACCCTCCTGTGTGGGGTCAGTGCTGGGGACCGGGTCAGGCTGACTGGAGTCATGTGTGGGGTCAAGCAGGTGTTGGTCGGACCCAGGGTCAGGTTTTCTGTGTGGTTTTGGGCTGAGGAGGCTTATCTTGCTTTGGTTCAGTCTACATTGAAAGGTTAAGTTTGTAGCGTTTAGCATTGCTGGAGCTTTCTGGAGCAATTCTTCTTTTTCATCTCTTCTTGTTTGCTGGGGTTGGATCAGGAGGAGCCTTTTGCTGTCAGCTTTGTGCACCTCTTACCTGCTTCCATCTCAGCAACTGCTGGGCACAGAAAATAGTGAGGAGGGGGCAGTCTAAAGTAGATTTTTCTTCAGAAAATACAAGACTGTTCATGGTTCTAATTTACCTTGGCTCTCATTGGTTTAGATTTGTGTACAAGGAGCTGGCATTTTCTGCAGTCACACAAACAGCAGTGTTTTAAATATCTGTTCTGGTTCCATTTGCTGTAAAGCATGCTGAGATGGTTAGTGATGAGATAATACCCAGTGCTGCTGGCAGGCTGTCTCTGAACAGTGTGCAAAGCAAGCTCTGACACACATGAAGCAGCAGTCTGTGTGCTTGTGAGAAAAGGAGCTTTATCCTGTGCTGCACTTGGAATAGGGCAGTTTGGTTATTGACCTAAGTCAGCTCTCATTTACATCTGTCAAAGGAGGCTGGAGAGGCATGAGCTGTGCTTGGCCCTGTCTGTGTGTTTCTAGGATTCTTCATGTTTCCAAGTATATGAAAGGAGAAAACACAATCTGAAAAGAAAACAACAAAAAACCCTGCACTTGGGGTTTAATGACCATCTCTGGAATTCAGCAGGGTGCTTTCCTCTCCGTGTGTAGCTTTGTGCAGCTGGGCTGATGTTTATGGTGTTTGGGTAGGGGTTTTTTTCCCCACCCTCGATTTTCTCTCTAATCTGCTGCTCTGGCCCCAGTTAAAGCTGTATTAGAGCAGCTCAGTTGAGATGTGACCCTGGATGACAAATCCCCACATAATGCAAACAAAGAACATCGAGGCCACATTCAGTGCTTTTTGCATGGCACTGTGCCAAATAGTCTGGCAGAGAAAAACATTTTAAGTCCTCCTTTTAAGCTGAGCTCAAACCTGAAGGACTCTGTCAGCAGTAACATTGCAGCTGAGCACAGACTCTGATTTTAATTACAAAACAAGCTCCACAGCAGCCTCTGCTTTTGGGGGGTGGGGGCTGTGAGATTTTTGTTCATAAAATTGCACTCGTTGTGGCTCATGTGGCTTTCCCAACCCAGCCTCTGTTTTGGAAGGAGGTTAAACCTCATCTGCATGAGGAATGTGTTTCCAGAGTTGTCTCCAGGCTTGGCAGGAGCAGAAAGGGAGAGAAATCAAACCAAACCCAGTAATTCAGTCTAATTGGATGAGGTGGAAACCAGACAGGCACAGGGCAGGCAGCAGCTCCAGGAAACTGGGAAAAGCAACAGGTTGATCCTCATCCAGATGTTTGGCAATTGGACAGGATGACCCCACGAGAAAGGGGTGGAAATTGGGGCATTACCCCTCAGCAGCTGCTGGGAATTCAACTGCTGGGGTGTTAAACTGATCCAGGTGGATGGGGGAAAAGGGAATGGTGATGGCATTGGGGTTGGTGAAGGGATGAAGTAGGCAGGGGTTAAAGAACAGCGATGTGATTGCACTGCTGGGCAGTCCTGGAGTTCAAAGCTGTGCTGGTCCTTTTGTTGCTGAGCCAGCAAGACCTGCAGGGCTTAGAGGCAAGACAGGCAGCATTTAGGGAACAGATGATTTACTGCTTTGCTGGCAGCCCTTAAGGTCATGGAAGGATGTGTAAGAAAAGGGGAATTGGGGCAAAAAAAATGGAAAAAGGAGGAAAGAAATGATAAAATCCTTTTTGAGATGGTTTTAAGGTCATAGTTCCTAGCAGTGATACAGACTTTCATTAAAAGCAGCAAAACTGCCCATTCCTCTGCTTGTTGTGAAAATTGTTTCACATTTGTCACAGAGCTAGCAATTGTAAGAATAAAATGATGGATATCCACATATGTTTAGGCAATCCCTGTATTCCAAGGCATTAATTTAGTTCTGTGGAGCAAGAGAAGTGCTGGTGAGACCACTCTCGTGGCTCTGCTGACCACTTGCTGATCCAACAGCATTTTTTCATCCTGTCCATAAAATTAAAAAAAAAATAAAAAAAAAGCAGCACTGAAATAATGAGCTTTGTGTATGTGTCTCAGAGGTGGGATGTCAGATCTTGGCAGAGAAATATTTCAATTTCAAGCTTGAGAGAACTGAAAAGTAATGTTTTTTCTTTACAGAAAAAAACCACTGTTTTGCATCTGCTGGGAACAAAAGGAGGGAAAGGAATGAAAGGCCTGGGGGTGGGTGTTGCAAGTGGGGTTAATTGTGCCTTCCATCAAGATGCAGCACAGGCAGATATCGTTAGGGGGAGATGACAGTTTCCTTTGTCTGAAACATGGACTTCTCACTGCCAGGCGAGACACTGGATGTGCTTTTCCTTGGAAAATGAATCTGTGTACCCAGGAAAGCCAGCTGCAGAGCACACCAGCATCTGCTGGTTATAAGGAGTTCCAAAAATGCCTTTTGCCTGCTGAGAAGGAGAATTTAGGAAGCTGGGCTGAGCACCACTGCTGTGTTTTTACCAAGCCTTTTAAATCACTGGCTTTGCCAAGTAATGCCAGCAGCAGGTGCAGGATGAAGATTGGGGAACTCGTGCCTGTGGATGTGAAGCTTTTGCTTCCTCCTTCACTCACCAACCGTCCTTGCTCCGAGTTCCTGCCTCACAAACTGGCTGTTGCCACCAAACAACATTTGGAGCTGACTTGTTCTTTTTTTATTCTTCATATTCTCAGGTGTTTTAAGGAGCTGGAACCATGACGGACTCCAAATACTTCACGACCAATAAAAAAGGTTGGTGTTGAGCTGGTGCAGTGGATTGGAGGTGGTGGGTGGCTATTTTTACCCAGCTTTTTTAACTGCATGCAGGAGAACTTGTGTTTTCCTGGTAGCTCTGTCCTTGTTTCTCTCTTCTTAATCATCCAGGGAGAAACTTTCAAAGTAGGTCACATGGTGACAAAAGACAAAACTGGGATATTATACGTTTTTATGATGCACAAAATGACCCAAATTGCTCCTCTTTCAAGGATCAGAAAGCAAAACATTGGGATTTGAGTGCAGATCTGGCCAGAGACAAAGTTTTGGTTATGGGCTAACAAGTGCCAGACTAAGGATGGTTGTCAATTTGGGCATCACAGGATTAAGTTGATGTGAAGAATTTAATATTTTGGATATATACATCAAGCAAACATAATGGGTTTTCCTGCTGCCATTTTCTCCAAAGCTGCAGGTGCTCTGTTTGACTTTCCTCTGCCTTTTCTGCAGGTGTGGTGGTTACCTTACCTCAGGACAAACTGCTGCCCTTAAAAATGGGATGCCTGGAAAGGCTCTTTGGGATTATTTTACTCATTCAGCTGTTTCAGAGCAGGGCTTGTTCTGCTGAGACTGTCCCAGGCAGATTTTCTGACCTG